GCTACGTCCATCTTTTATACAGTCTATGGTCTGAACACAGCCACGCGGTTTAAGTGTCTGGAACCTGCACAAGCACACCGGTCAATTAGGCGTGAAATCCAGCGATGCCTAGTGTTCTAACAATACACTAGTTATTATAACAACTATAAAAAATAAATATTAACAATAAATTACCCTTCAAGCATCAAGTCCTCCTTGTATCTCGACCTCCATCTTGACAATCCGACAGCCTTGCTATACGACATAAAAGAAGGTTTTTATATTTAGTGTCGAATTATCGAGTCACGACTGTATTTAGGGAAAAATAGCAATAACAGCTTTAAAGCTACATGGCCTACTATGTCAAAATTTAGGGAGTGTTGTCTCAGAATCTTGTACTCAATATCCAGGTTAGCAATATTTTCTGCAAAAAATGAATACAGCAGATACAAGACAAGTATGGAAACAAATTAAAACTGTAAGTCGTAAAATGTGTGTAGGATGTAGAGCCACCATTTTTTCCACTACTGGTAACATCTGACACTGCCACTTGAAAACATGTTGATCATATGGATTTCAGGATTTTACATTTTTGTAAAATAAATCATGAAGGAAATGCAGCTGTAAGTTCTCTCTACATCAGCTCCATAGAGGTGCAGAATTTTATGTTACAGTGGAAAATGAGCCCACAGCGAGGAAACTCCCAGAAACGGATTGGGATTCAGAGGGGTTCAGACATCACCTCAATTTCAGAGCTTCATCCTGTTTAAAAAAAAAGGCAAGCCCACTTTGGAGAGAAAACCTGCTGACACATCATCTGGATGGTGCACTTCTGACTCTGTTAGGGTCGACTGAATTTTTGATTGCCTGTAATTATTGTTGGATCAATGTGGGGCAGGTCCCCCTCAGCTCAGGTCTCTCCTTGTTTATTGGAATAAGGTACATTTTCCTTGGGTCTGTTTTAGATTGTCCCAAGCTTTTGGAACCATGAATATTCAATTTCATGTTATCTCTCACAGTTCCACCTTCTTTACAAGTATTCAGCAAGTTAGTTTGTCTTAGTCAATGAACACTCACATTTTTTACTTTTATGCAAGACGTTTGCAATGTTGGTATGGACCAGTGATTTTCAGTGTCTCTCCACAGTCTCACCACCCAAGGACCTAACAGTGGTGGAGGTCACTCCAGAGACCGTGGACCTGTCCTGGGAAAACGAAATGCGTGTGACCGAGTACCTGATCACCTATGTGCCCACGGCCCCAGGAGGTCTGGAGCTGGACATGCGTGTTCCTGGTGACCAGAAAATAGCCACTGTTAGGGAGCTTGAGCCCGGCGTGGAGTATCTGATCAGTGTGTATGCTGTGCTCAGCAACAAGAAAAGTGTTCCAGTCAGCGCTAGGGTGGCGACACGTAAGTGAAAGCACTCTGTGGCAGTTTCTAAAATGGAGTGAATAAATTTAAATGAGCTGTTTTCATACTTTCCCATTTTCCCTGTCAGATCTTCCTGAGCCTGAAGGACTCAAGTTCAAGTCAGTGCGGGAGACATCAGTTGAGGTGCAGTGGGACCCGTTAGACATTCCCTTCGATGGTTGGAACCTCATCTTCAGAAACACGGTGAGTGCTGCTGCCCAAAATGTTAATTGAGCCTCTATGTTCCAGGAGATAGTTGAACCCAAGAACCTACCACAACCTTGGTTATTATCCACATTTTGATCTGGTGGAAACTATATATGACCCACTGTAGACCCCCTACTTAAAATTTAGTAATCGCCTAATGTGCATACACGAGGATCAGGGTGAGTAGCCACTGGAAAATAGTTTAGCCAAGCCAGAAGGCGAAAACACAGCAGTTAAAACTGTTAGCAAGTCCTGACAGCTCCAATGAGCGTACAACACAGAGTGAATGTTACTTTGTTTAAGGCTTTATTTTCCTTTCTGAGTGCTCATAGAAACCTTTCCAAACACTGCTACTGGGATCTGCTAAAAGCCACACTCTATTAAACCAAATTCCCTGTCAACGCTTAAGTCCAAACGCCACCCAGAATGCCTTTATGTATGATTTGGCTGTTTTTTTCAGCTCACTCCGCACATTATACCCTGACTAGTCTTTGTAGTGTGTGATGACTGGTGTTTTCTCGGTGCTGGCAGAAAGAGGAGGATGGTGAGATCCTTAACTCCCTTGGCCGACCAGAGACCACCTTTGAGCAGTCTGGGTTGGGTCCAGGCCAGGAGTATGAGGTCAAACTGGAGGTGGTGAAGAACAACAAGCGTGGACCGCCTGCCTCCAAGAATGTAGTTACAAGTAAGTGTATACATTCATGGTGCTAATTGGCTTATCAGTCTTTTGTTTTACACTCACTGGAAGAGATTTTTTGCAAGATGGTGAACATCTACTCAGTTTGCTGGTCTAGAAAAAACACTGAGTTAAGGCATGACAACTTCTATTTCAACTTCACTGTAACAGAACACATAAAATAGCTATAACTCTCTAGTTACGCTTTTGAACTTATTTCTTACAAAATATTGTGCATTCTGTATTTGGTACATGAAAACAACTTGGGTGAATACTGCTAATTGTGGTAGTTGATGTAATACAGGACTATACATTGCAAACATTTTCTTGCAGCTATACAGTCCACATTTCTGTTGACTGGTAAAATGTATATCCTATCCAAAAGACCAATATGCTACAATATTATTATTATTATTATTATTATTATTAGTCAGGAAAACTAGCAGAAAGAATATTATTAGAATATCTTTGGTACTCATTGAGCAATGGCTGTATATACTTGAAAAAAAACAAAAAAAACACTTGTGACCTCTCAGTGTTTTTTCCACCATTTTCTGAATGTATCTGACAAAAATCCCTATGAAATGACTGTCCAGAGCCCTGTCGAGTAAGTACACATCTGTCCTCATAACCTAATGATAGGTTTACTACATTCCCTTTTTGAACCCTAAAACTTGCTCTATTATTTAAGTGAAAATTGTTGGTTTCGAGGTGGGTAAGTTTGAAAAAATTGGTAGTACTGACACAGAATGGCTCTATTTCCACTTTCAACACTTACACTTGGCACCTGGAGAATGTCAGTCCAATTTTCACTCAGTTTTACCTCTGTTCTGTTGTTTCTCCCAGATCCTGGTAAAATTGTTGGGTGCTGTCTTATTGCTGCCTTTGTCCACTGCACAAATGTCTTCCCTTGTTCTTGGTTGGGTTACATTTTTTCATTGAGAATTGTTTGTCTTTACTGGGCAAAATTGCCTTGAGACAACAAATGGAAAGTCGGATGTATATATATATATATACACATAAAGCTTGCATTGGAAATCATCAGGCGAAGTGAGAGATGAAAGGGTAGATGAAAACAGGTGATAGACATGAGAAACAGTATGTCCTAAACTGCTGGTCTGCCCGAGCTTATCACTCTTGATACATGTACATAGTTTGTCCCCCCGTGCCCCCTCAAACCCAGCAGGATTTTTTGAAACATATCATTACAACAAAGGGTTTTACCATTGACTGGTGGATTCCAGAAAAGCACAGCAATAAATTGAACTCCAGGGCTAAAAGATTAGGATATACATCAAACAGTCACTGTTATAGGACAGTTGCAGGAGAGTAAGTCTGAATTCGTTTTTCAACATCTGGAGCCAGTGTTGGAGATTGAGAGAGTGTGACTTCCTGAAATGGAAGTTATTGTAGAATAAATTATCACTTAGAGCTGTCAGTGTTAAATGCAACAACAGGTTGTCACCTTTGTACCTTGCATAGGTTCATTGGTTCCTGTATCTGCATTATCCATCTTGCTGCCTGCGAGTATTGAAAAGAGACTGACATGTCTACCCTGAGTGATTAGCTCATTAAATGTCACTGAATTGTTGTGATTTAACGGGAGCAGTAAAAACAGCTGTGGGTTTCCAGCTCTATTGGCAAGTTATGAGACATCTCAATTGCTCTATCAGGCTATAAAACCCCAAGGCTTGTAAGACTGACGAGCTCAGAGCTGGGGATCAATATAAAGAGATTAAACAGGGTTAAATTCAAGACTTCACCTGCCAGACCAGCCACCAAACACTGGACTATTTTTAGGTGTCTTGGCTGTGGGGTAGGTTAAAACGCTGCTCCAACTCTGCTTGAAGTTGTTAAATGTGTATTTTGTTTAAAAGTAAGGCTCCGTGTCTGACTTCTCAGGCTGAAACTTAAACTGTGCTAGCTGCTACCCCAGGGAGACTTCTCTTTCAACAGAGCAAATTCAACAGGCACAGCAATGTTCACCACATTCAGCACAAAGTTTAATAAATGGCAGCGCCATTCAGAAACAGGTCAGGCCTTTTCTTTGCTTATTTATGGTATGAAAATGATCTGCATGAAAATACCATAAAATACCATTTGAGACCTACTCTACATTTTTCTTATACAACCAGCAGTAAGAGTAGAGCTGGTAAATGACTGGTACTGGTTCCGTCTGGCGAGCAAAATGTAAAGGACAAGAATTTTTTTTTTTTTTTTTCTTAAATGAACTGTTAACTGTGATGTAAACAACAAATTGCAAATGAAGCCCACAGAGTAAAAAAATAAAACCCAATGCAACAAGAGTGAATACACCTGTGCTCACTGAAACTAAATTAGATACACCATTGTTATAAAATGACTTGTGGACACCACAGCTTTGTCAGTTTTAGACTTATGGCCTGTCTATCTGAATGTCTGCATCATGGCTCCACACTGAAAAGAATTGTCAGTGAATTTGAAAAAGTTGATCATGATACATTAAAAAAAGAATACAAGAAGATCTGTAACAAACTAAAGTTTGATTTAAATACTGTTGCAGCTGTCATCAGGAGCAGTAGAACCAGCTACGGTACCACTAGTCAGAGCTGCCACGCCATCCTCATACAATGAAACAACAGGCGAAACAGTGCACCACTTGCATTGAGCTGTGAAGTGCAAAGGACATTTCATAATGTCAGCTTCTATGGACATGGTCAAAGGAAAAGCCCATGCTTGCTTTATGGGACAAAACCACAAGATTAGTCTTTGCTAAAGACCATGAAAAAAAAGCCTGTTGAAGATTGGGAGTACATTCTTTGGTCAGAAGAGCCTAAATGCATTTGTTTGGCTCAGATGGGATCCATCATGTTTTGTGCTTCATTGCCAGGACTGCCACAGTGAATGCATAGTCCTGACAGTGAAGCACAAAGGTGTGAGTGTGATAATATGAGGCTGCAAGACTGCAAAAGGTGCGGGAGAGACACTCACACAGCGTGAATGGCTGTGAATATACCAAAATACTGGCTATATTAATCACGCAAGAGTTTCTAAAGAGGAAAAAAGTGAAAACTATAACCTGACACCTGACTTTAAGTCAATATAACACCTTTGTGATATTGTATAGGTAGAGCAACACAATCCCTCCAGTAAAGAGCAGCTGAAATAATTGTCTATGAAGAATGGCAGAGCATTGTGGCCATATGTAACATTGAAAAACTAAAGATTGGCATCTCAGTAATTCAGTCATAAAGGGCTGACTTTTGTTACGCCAAGTTCCTCCTGTGGCACCTGTATTTTTACTATAGTATACAGAGCACATGTGCATAAAAATGAGGTCAGGTCAGGTCCAGTTGAGCAGTGTCCTTTCTCTTCTCAGTTGGTTAGCAGAGAGAATCAGTTTGCCATCAAGCTTATGTATAGATTTTAGGTCTTTCTTCCTGGCATTTCCCAGCAACCTACCGTCCAGAGCTTACAGGATGATAATGAGGCTGTGTCAGTCCATTCTCTAGTGCTGACACAGCCCCGCGGAGATAGACCTGGCTATGGTAGGCTATCAGATTGCAAATGAATGTGTAAGTTGATTTCTGCTGTACCCACATTTCTCCCAGCAAACAAACATAATGAATGTATGTGTTCCCAGTGAAATGATTACACTCTGCCAACAAATAGTTCACTTCTAGTTTTTACAATACAAACAAACAAATACAAAACATGACTTACCTGAGAGACAGTTGCAAGTGTTTCTGTATGCCACTGGACAGAGAAAGGCTGGATGTTTTGAATAATTTCCACTGTTTGTGCTAAGCTTAGCTAACCATTTACTGCCTCCTACTACATATATGACAAAAAACTGCAACAGTTTATCTATGTATATATTTGGGAGAGAGACCTGCGGCAAAGGGTCATGAGCAGGAGTCAAACCCACAACCGCTGCATTGGGGAACTATAGCCCCATTCATGGGACGCCTGTTCAATGAGGTGAACTATAGGGGCACCCCAAAAACTGCAAAAGTTTAACTCACAGAAGCAAAATGTTAACTTTTGCTTTCATAACAGCGCCATTCCTGGGTCATTATCTTAAAACAAAGTAAAATACAGTCTCTTGTTGTAACAGCAAATCAAATTATGCCATCATAATAGGTTATATTAATGAATTAATAATTGAGATATGTTGCTTTTATGTAATAATGAGAATAGTTCATCTTCCAAGATAAAGTGAACTAGTAGAAATTGGCTTAGCTTTTGAACGCATATGAAGGAAGAATAGGCAGTTTCTCTTTGTTACCAAAAACACTGTGTGCACTTTGACTGATGACTGACCTGATGGGCGTATTTGGAAAAGCCTTGTAAGACAACAAAAGTCAAATAGAGTGAATGTTTTTGATATTCTGCATTCACCCGCATACACGCGTGTCAGCACTGCTTGGATTATGAGGTTCAGAGTTCTTCATGTCACTCAAGCTCTCTAAATGTCTCCCATTATACCGGCTTGTGGGCACATACTGTGGGATTTGCATGCTGAGGGCCTAATTGTGTGAAGCGAGTCCCTCCGTTCTCCGCTCTCTCCTCCCCCGTCCAACCCAACCTACCACGTGTGGGAGGTACCAGTCAGTCAAGCAGTCAGGCTCAGAGGGATGCTGGCCTCCCAGGAGAATGGTATCGTGACACCCGAACGACACTCTTGCAGCTTCCCCGGCAGAAAAATCTGTGTTAAGCTCAAATGCAGATTCTTCATTTTATCAGCCCTGCACAGAGGATTGACTTTCCTAAAGTTGCTTGCGTGTGACAAATCAATTTGAGCAGCAGTGAAAAGGCGCCCTTCATGGGGCTGGGATTTGATCTGTAAATAGTTGGAATAACCTCATAAATGCAAGTATGGTGTCACATTTGCATTTATGATTTTAATGCTAAAATGGCTGCATTCATGCATGTAACATACTGATATTTGTTCGTCCTCTCCACACCAACCCTCCTGACTCAACCATATGCTTCCTCCTTTCAAGGTCTATGGTCAGGGTCAGGGGTCAACTCCATCAATGGGTAGAGTGTAATGTGACCCTGATTAAAAATATTTCTTTTCGCGCAAACACACTTGCTGGAAACAAACAGCACTAAGACACAAACACAGAGTATGACAGTATCATTACATCTGTACGTATCTGATCAATATTTATTAATAGTATTTACTATTAGCAATCTGCTCATTTGCACATTGTTTAACCTCAATCTTACTGAGGTTTCTAATTGCAGAAACACACACACACACACACACACACACACACACACACACACACAATTTTAGCTCTTTTATTCTTTATTACCTTTTTATTGTCTCATAGCTTTAGCTCAAAATGTAAGATGTAACGTGAGTATAAATTTCTGTTGAGTTTTATGATTTGCAATGAATTATTATTATTATATAGAAAAGGAAATAAATAGTATAGGCTATATCAAATTTATACAAAATATTTACTTCAGCAAGGCTCATGGCTGTATATCCAAACATCTAAAGCATTCTTGGAATCAAGCCTCCTTCTTCACAGCCCCAGGATGTTTTACCTCAACTCATGGTGCTTATGCTTGCATATTATTTCATGAATAAGACTTAAATTAATCATAGTAGCAAACAAATTATCCTTCTTTAAAAGCTGATTATCTTAGAAGACTCCCACGCAGAACAATAAATGGTTAACTGGATAACAGCAGAACCTCTGAACTGGTGCTCAATGGAAACATTTCAGTTCAATCCTTGGTAACTGCAAAATTACTTTAAAGCAGCGCTACATATTAACAATGGGCACAATGAGGCAGTGCAATGTAAGCATGTTGCAAATAGTAAAAAATGTATTTTATAATTAAATTAAAATTCCATTTTTTCACCTCTGTGGCACTTTTTAGCATCTTTAAGCTTACTGTTTTGATTTTATGGCTCATGACTGTACTGTATTAATTTGTTTACTGCAAACACCTATTTTTACCAGAAAATATATAAGACTTGAATTATGCTAAAAAGCCGAGCATTAAATGATAAGGACAAAGCTAACAATAGGGTTGGTGAACAACAACAACAAAAAATCTTCTCCAGCAAAGTGTTTGTCACATCAAATATTACAGTTTAAACTCATCTGCTCAAAAAAAAAAAAAAAGAAAGAAAGAAAAACTGTTTTACCACACCTTTAACTATGTGTGCATTCAAAAAATTGATTTTTTCTGATAAGAACCTCCACTGTGTGACTGCCTCTACCCCTCCAGTGATCGATGCCCCCAGCCAGGTGGACGTGCGTGACGTGACCGACACTACGGCGCTGGTGACTTGGTTCCAGCCCGTGGCCGACGTGGATGGGGTCAGCGTCTCCTACGGGCCCAGCTCTAACCCCGCTGATCGCAGTGTGGTGGAGCTGTCCTCCACTGACACCCAGTACCACCTGGGAGGCCTCGTCCCCGACACACAATATGAGGTGTCCCTGACAGCTCGGAGAGGGGACCATGCCAGCATTCCTATCTATGAATCTTTCCTTACAGGTAAAGTAAAACAACTTGATGTGCTGAGTTTTTCAGATCCCCGCAAAAAAGAATGCCCCATAATATACATAACTGTCTTCCAGATGAAACCCAGTCAGCCATTAACTGTTTATTACAGCCAGGTTTAATGAGCTGCTATGCTGTGTGTCAGCTGAGGGTGGTGGTGAGGTGGGAGCTGGACCACACATGCTTTACTTATGGCTATATGTTTACAAGGAGGACTTCCTGCTGATGTGTGTACCTGGATGTGTGTGTTGCTTGAGGGCCCAATGTCCTCATAAGTATAGAAAGATGATTTGGTTTGGAGCCTGGTTCAGTGTGGAGGCTCTTGCTGGCTCTGGTCTTCCCTCAGTTGCTCTGTATGTCTCTTTAACACCTTTTTTAAAAAAAAAAGTACAGAAATCTTCCCCCCACAAGCATTTGTGCAGTCTCTTTCTGATTGTAGACACAGCACTTAGTGTTACCTGCACATCTTGTGATTACATTTTTAGGTTTTTGCATTAAATCGTCTTCTTCTAATTTGCTGGGGCTGCTAGTCTTGGACAAATTCGCAGTGGTTGAAAGTCTATGGCACTTGTAGATGATTTACCTCACAGTGGAATGATTTATTTAGAATAATTTGGAGCTATTTTTAAATCCCTTGTCAGATACATTGCCATTTACAACCTTTTCACTGTCAGCGGTTTAAGTAAGACAGATTCCACCTGTCACTCCCTGATGCCAGTGGTACACTTTCTGTGTCTGCCAGTAGTCAGGGTCGCTAGGGTCTGCATCATGAAAGATTTGCCATCTTCCTAAGTCTGCAAGAGTCTGCATAGACCCCTCTGTAGAAATTCTCATGCAGCCCAGATTTGTGTCTGTGTGTAGACTAAGATACAAGGGCTGTAGTACGCATGCTTAGCAGTAGCATGCATGTGCAGAATATGTAGATGTGCACGTATGGAATAGAACCAAGGTGCAACCTCTTAACAAGAGTAGGATGAACACCTTTGAATATAATACAAATAACATCACATCTAATGAGTGCACAAAACAAGCATCCAAAATACTCGTACTTTTTGGGAGCATGCTCAGTCGTCACACTCTAAAACTATTCTTTTTTTTTTTTCTATTAAATGTTTATATTAGAAAAGCAATATATGAAAAGGGTAATGTTTCTAAGCTGAGTTATTGGACTTTATTGATATATCTCTATTGCTATTTTCAGTCTACAATATATGCAGTGATGATTGTAGATAAACCTGATTTGTAAATTATGTCTGACAGTGAATTCATGTTAAATCACAAAAATAATTGAGATTTTAAAAGGAACTTCTGACTAGTCCAGGGTGTCTTCTGCCTTTTAGTCAGTTGGGATAGACTCCGGCCCCTCATGACCCTCTACAAGATAAAGTGGGCATAGCTAATAGATCAATGGAAAAGAGCTACTTTTGGTTTAGAAGATCAAGTTACATTTCGTTTGGGGTAGGGTTACAACTACTAAAGTCCATTTCTGTGTTGTAGACTTGGACGCCCCCAGAGATCTACAGACCGTGGAGCTGACAGACGAGAGCATCACTCTGGAGTGGAAGAACAGCCAAGCACACGTGGACAACTACCGCATCAAGTATGGACCTCTGTCTGGAGGCGAGCACGGAGAGCTGCTGTTCCCTCCAGGACCCAAGGAGTCCACCCAGGCCAAGATCACTGGTACCGCATCCCAGAGTCACACTCACACACAAACATCCAGCCAAACTAATGTCATTACCGTCCAATAAGTTAGCATTTTTCCAGCTGCAGTAGCATTAACTCAACGTCATCACACATGCTTTCCTCACCGCTTTCAACGCATTTTAAAATTTTCTTCAATCAGTGGATGACATTTGCTCATTGGTCAAGGAAACACAGTACACACAGGTTATGCACCATTTCTACCATTCATGTAGCCACAGAGTCCAAATTGTGCAGATTCATTTTATTTGTAGAATTTTTATTCAGTAATTTAAATGCTGCTCATAATCATACATTTATTATGAGTTAACAAATATTTTTTAGTGCTTGGCGCAGTTGGTAGCACTGTTGCCTCGCAGCAAGAAGGTCACCAGTTCGCGTCCCGGTGGGGGCACCGGAATCTTTCTGTGTGGAGTTTGCATGTTCTCCCCATGCGGGTTCTCCGGCTTCCTCCAACAAGGTCCAAAAACATGTTGAGGTTGATTGGTGATTCTAAATTGTCCGTAGGTGTGAATGTGAGTGTGCTTGGTTGTCTGTCTCTAAGTGTAGCCCTGTGATAGACTGGTGACCTGTCTATTGCGGTGGGGATAGGCTCCAGCCCCCCTGCGACCCTAGTGAGGATTAAGCGGTGTATAGATAATGGATGGATGGATGAATCCTGTGAACCTTTAATCACACCAGCTCACACATTTGAAACAATGTAACCTTTTACAAAAACAAACACTGTAAGAACAGAACACTCATCAGATTTCCAACTTTCTTAGGATCATTAAACTAACCATGTGTGACACGAGTTTCTGTCAGGAAATTTAATCAAATCTAACCTTAAAATGATGATACCTAGATAGGGAGGTCGAGAGTCAAACAAATTACACATTATCAATAAAATAAACACAGAATGGTTAGACAGTCATAAAGGAGCAGCAAGTTGTTGAAAGAAACATCCAGCATGGTGAAATATCTTTCTGGAGTTAATGTGCGCAGAGCCACCATTTTTCCAGTACTGGTACCATCTGTGGGCACTTGGAAAACAGTAACACGCAATTTTTCTTTTAATTTCTGAAAAAAATAAGGATTTATGGTATATAGCTTAATTATACTGCACAGAAGCCATTTGTGTGCTCTGTGTGCTTTTGGCCATGGTTGTGCTGTTTCCATAGAGGTGAAAGACTTTATATTGTACTGAAAAATGAGCCCATAGTTAGGAAAAATGTGACGGGGGGGGGACCCACCCAAGACTGCTTTGAGTTGAAAGAGTTAATACAGCTTACTGCAGTCATCAATTATAGCTTTACAATCAATAAAGCCAGTGGTTACAACTTATCGATTCTTGATTAAGCAGTGCTTCATTAAAAAATGTAACCAGGGATTTTTTTCTACCTGGCAATCCACATGGCGTTCTTATTGGTGGCTTAAAACTGATATATAACAGTCATCAGTAAATGTTTGTTAGCCAGTTATAAAGCCGTTAATGCTTTTCTGTTATCTGAGATGCTTCATTAGGAGAGCTGCACAAGAGTTGTTTTACTGTGTAGACTCGCTTGTTTTCATTCTTTTGCTGCTCTGCGATCACATTGTCTCATTATCACTTTACATCCAAATGACACAGCTGAAAAGCTTCTGTGGAAAAAAAAAAATACAGTGTGAAGTGTTTATTCTCCTAATTCTTGGGGTAAGTGTTTGTGGTGCGCCCTGTTAAATGGTCAGTGTTATTTTCAGCCAGCTCATTCTCCAAAATTGGTCGCCTTTGTTTTGTGTCGTGAAATGTTTGCCAGTCTACAAAAGGCCTACTTTATTAGAAAACCACCCAGGAGGGGTTTGGCATTCAGACATTAAATGGAATAACACTGTCGCTTGTTTCACTGCGAGGTTTTGCTCAAACAAAAAAAGCGGTCGTGTTTTCATCTTTCTGCACCGCTGACATTAAAAAGCCATGCTTTGAGGCGGATGTCTTTTTTTTTCTTGGTTTGTTTCTGCACTGTGTGCTGCAGCATGGCAGGATTAAACACCATGAGAAACACACAGAAAAAAAACCTTCCAAAAACAGGCTAGTAGTGTCTTTGTCTGGACCAATTCTTTGTCCTTGGGAGGCCCATCCCATGAAAATAAAGCACTGTGTCCATTCAGCTGACGTCCCCCTCCGCTCCACACACACCTCAGCACTTCTTTCACACACTTATTATCTGTAATTGCCTTCACGCTCGTGATTTTATTGATAATGAGTTTCCTGGGCATTAGGTGTAATTTCATGCTGCAAGACTCTGTGTGCGATGACCTCTGTGGGAGTTAATAAAGGAATTAGAGGCGATCAGACCGAAAGAGGGCTTAATTGTGGAGACCAAAGGGCCCCTGGAGCCTGCTGTATCATAGCAAGTAGTGTTCCTGCTCTGCGACAAGGACCCTATAGATCCATCAATGCAAATACAGCGCTGATGTTCCACGGTGAGCACAGGCTCACCATGAAATGCAATTAGGCTACAATCTATTGTGCAATCAAGCCACAAGAGAGCGTTTTTTGTGTTTGCCATAGGCACTGGAGCCATTAGCTGAAACAGCTGGCCACTTGACTATAGGGGCTCCCCACCGTTCATTTGTCGACACCTCAGTGGAATTGTACAAACACAACATGACATAGCTTTTTATCTCTGTATCACAGTGCTTTTATGTTGCCCTGTTCCGCAGGCCTGAGACCTGGCACAGAGTATGGGATGGGTGTGACGGCGGTGAAAGATGAGCGGGAGAGTCTGCCCACGACCACCAATGCTGTAACTGGTGAGATACTTCCACTTACTGTAAAGTCACGTTATATTTTTTCCACAGTTTTTGTCACACATACATATTCTCCTTTTTTGATTTTACTGTCATTCATATTACCATGAGTTTTGTTATGATGTGTATTTTATTGATATTACTATTTAGTAAACACTGCCTTTCCTCTAATCAGAAAATAACTGAAAACAAAATTCTTAAAAAGTAAAAAACAAACAAACTTTTATATACTGTCAGTGTAATGTATACAGGGTCCTGTTTGTCCTATATTCTGTTCCTCAGTGTGCCTTCAGACTTTGTGTCATTCACTCAGATTTGATACTGAACTGTTGTAAGGTTGCCAGTCAGCCCTGTGTCTCAGATAAAATGTATTCTCAGTTACTTTTTGGGAAAACTATGTTTTCTCCAATTTGTATGAGACATATGACAAATATGTGTCAAATCAACATAGCGTTGCCATTTATTGTATTGCTTTACCCGCCTTCTCAGCCAACAATCCATATCATAGACGTAGTGGGACTTGTCATTGTGTTAACTCAAAAATGGAGGAAAAACTTCAATAATGTTGTAAAAGGGTGGTATTTAACCGAAGCATGATGTTTTCCTAAACCCAACCACACAGTTTTAGTGCCTAAACCTAACCAAACTGCACATAAAAAAACCAAAAGAAAACAACAAGTAAAAATGACATGAACCCGTGTGGGTCTGATCTGTTCATTCCATAACAATAAGATTTAAAACACATGTAACCCGGGTTTCTATGAAAAGAAATATTATCTTCCATTTAAACACAATCAAAGTGAAATCATTTTCAACCGCTCTGGACATGATTATTCTGTTTGCGACACCACTTGACAATTTGCATCTAATGGTGTCTTTCTATCAGTTTTTGTTGCCGGTAATTGCACGGCCTCTAAAATGAGCATGTCTGAACATAGTCACATTATCAGTTCATAGCACCAGTGTGCTTGATGAAGCCAGCTCATCAGAACAGATAATGTCTCATTCTGAGGAAGATGTTTCAAACCAAGCAGCCATTCCTGGGTGAATGAGCCATTTATGAAAAGATGGAGATTTCTAATCACTTAACAATAAATGTTCCCCCACCACTGCATAGGCCTGGATTATAACTGAAGCCTTCGCTGACTACTATCTTTATTACCTCCATAGTTTTTAAGGCTTTGTGTCAGCGTATTAACTCCTGGCTTAGAGAGAGACACCCCTTTATGGGATTTTATACTTCAGAATTTACAGTTTCTTAACCTTCTTTGCTGCATCTGTGGATTGTGAGTTTTTTCCCTGAGATTTGTGCAGGTTGCTGCTCAGTCGTCTTGCTCAGAATATCTTTTCTCAAACACTGTGTCCACTGTTTTTTGTCAATTCAACTCTTTTTTTCCCCTTAACCCTTCCTAACGGCCCTGTTCTTCATCTTCAAATCAAACTAAAAACAACACAGGAGGCACTTGAAAGATGAAAAGTAGATATTTAAGTGTAAAATGAATTTTAGTCTTTCAAATCAAAACTCTCCACCTCTCTACCTCACCAGCCCTGGATGCTCCCAAAGACCTGACTGTAGCGGAGGTGACTGAGACCACCATGATACTGGAATGGAAGCGCCCCCTGGCCAAACTGGACTCCTACAAACTGGTCTACATTTCCGCCGACGGCCACAGGGCTGAAGACGTTGTTCCAGGCAGCTCTGAGTCTCACACCCTGAGGGCTCTGACACCCGGCATGCTGTACACCATCAGCATCACTGCAGAGAGGGGCCGCAGGACCAGCGTACCCGCCACCATCTCAGCACCCACAGGTCAGCGCTGCCACAAACATGCTCCTGAAAGTCGTGTTCCCAACTACACAGCAGTGCCTTGTCTGACATTTCAGAGTGTCTGAAATGTCTGGCAGGAAAGAATGCAGGAGAGAGGAAGCGGAGAAATGTTTATGTTATCCTGTTGGCATTTATTCCAACATGATAATGCTGACATTTCAGATTGATGGCAGAGTCAATGCTAAATCAGAGTGTACAGTTTTCTATGCTTAACTGGAGGTTTAAAAAAAAAACTAAAAAAATTATTTTCTCACTGAATCTAGCGGTATGTTTTCATGCAGATAGTTTTGAAAAGACCATCCTGGTTACCTTTGATAACCTTAAACCTCTCCACTACATCCACAGTTTTCAGTGAAACTACAAAAAAACAAAAAAAAAAGGGGGGGATTGATAATTTAGCACATTTCAGCACATCCGGTTTTGCTTTTACAATTCACAGCATTACCACTGATTCAGTGTCACTGTTAAATGTTTGTTTCTAGCTGCATTAAGTAACAATTTCAGCGAAACACTGAATGACCTTAGTGTTTGCATGGTGCCTGGATCCCAACACAAGACAGATGATGTTAGCTAGCAGCTAGCTAGTGACACATTTAGCAGCTAATGAGTCAGACGGTCAGTAAACCAAGAAGGAGAGTGACTATTGGATTTAACATTTGTCAGGCTTACAGAAAGTTTAACAGCAGGTAATGCTGCTTTGTGTCTGTCTGCTGGCTAATATGTTGTCCATGTCAACTTCATAGAAAGCCAAAGTCTTGACACCACGTCCTGCTGTGCTACCTTCAGTAGCTCCATCAGCATTTCTTTCATGTCTTGAAAATATTCTACAGTTTTATTTCCATTACAGCGATTTCTATAAGAAATGTAAATCCTTGTTATTGCATAGAAACAAACACGTTAAATGTGTCATAGTTTGTTTCATCCACATCCATAAAAGTCACGTCATTGCAAAGTCATTTTTTACCATTTACATTATTTGTTCCTCTGAACTAACCCATACCTCTTGACTTGCTAACTAGTCAAGACCTGCCCCCATGTTGCAAAAAAACAAAAAACTCCTGAAAACAAGCCAGTGAACTTTAGATGACAGACCACTCAACGCTAGCTCCTTAGCTTAGCAGTGCTATCCTGCACTCAGACATTAAGGCCATTTCATGCTTTCTGCATGACCGGTAAAGACTATGAAAGTGGACTGTGGACACTTTAATCGCTAATACAGTAGAAAAACACACAGAGCTCCTGTACATGTTTCTGAAAAGTTGTGACTTTGCTGTTTTTACAAGATATAGCAGCTGATTACAGATGGGGCTGTAGCCTGGTGTCAGTGTGATTATCTCTGAGATGTGCCAGGCACAGTGGACGCACAGAGGATTTCTGCAGAATTTAGAACTTATTAGAACTAGAACTGAGTTATTAGAATTAGAACTATATTTGGACCCCATCAGTAGAAAGCATTTACAAATCAAAGCGGCTTCAGCAGCTACAATTTAAATTACAGCTGTTTTAATGATGAATTATAAAGGTGTGGATGACGGAGAAACTCCTTGTACAACCCCGCTTTGTAATAAGCATTTGTTTAAGTACCATTTGTTACTTGCGGTACACTGCGATCCCAAATTTTGGACTGCACACAAATGTCCACATAGAGATCAACACGTGGCACTCGGAGGGCCTTGGGTGAATGACAAAAATTAAATCACAAGTACTTTTACGGACACGTGGTCCTGAAACGCATGAATTGGTCTTAATGCGCCTCTTCCTCTGGGCTATTGGCCACCTCAGTACTCCTGAAACCTGTGGTCGCTTATTTTGGCCGAGGCAAGGCCCTTTCGAATGTTATGTCACTTAAAAATATCTCAAAATCTGACCAGATAAACACAAAACTATCTGCATACCACTACAGTTAAATGAGATTTTCGCTCAGGACAAAACTTGGCATGTGAGACATTGAGTATCTTTAGCCCACTGTTTCCATGAGAGTTCTAGCTGGTGGTACAGGGATAGAGAATAAGAGAAGTTTTCATTAACCATAGGTCCATTTTTTTGTCCTTCAGTACTGCAGCCAAACCGAGGCAATGAATTGAATTCATTGTTAGCTCCTCAATGTAAGTCACTGTGTCTCTACCCCCTCCTTCCCCATCAAGGCTCATTTATAGCATGTGGGATTATTTTTCTTTTTTCCCCATTTCTTTCTTTTTTTTTTTTTAAACTAAACATGAGAAGACAAATGAGGTGACTGTGGCATATTTTTTTGTGCTGCGGCCAGGGTGCCTTCAAGCCAAATATTTCTAAAGTAAATCTTCCAGTTATGCAACGAGTGCCCATTAAACGCATGGATGTGGGCAAAAATTGATATGGCATGAAGGAAAGGTTTGTAAGCTTCAGAATAACTGTCTTTTGTTGCATTTATTTTTTGGGGGATTGCACGCTGCCAAGAAGAAGAGATATACACTTCTGTGTGTGTGTGTGTGTGTGTGTGTGTGTGTGTGTGTGAGGGTGGATGTGTGTGCACGTGCATGTTGTCTCCTCTTTATGTCCACTTGTGTGTGTGGTCATGTGTGTCACATATGATTGAGAGGCTGAGGAGCTAAAAAGACGAAGATAGAGTGAACATTTGGGGGGTGTTCTTGTTGTGTGTGTGTGTGTGTGAGGTGGGGGGATTGTATGGACATGTGTGAACCCTGCACAATGTTCATTCATGTGATAATTGTTGGCGTGAGCCCTGCTCCCCTCTGGTTTTGTGCGATTTGACCACGATGAACTGTGGGTCTGTCAGATAATAGGCCACATGCTGGGACTCCTGTTAAAACATTGTCTCCAAAATCAGCAGCCCACTAATCCACAGCCTGGCCGATCCGCAGCCTTTATCGTCTCCAGACACGTAGCGCAATACACAGATCACACTCGTTTCGCAGGAGGGGCTGAAGGAAAAAGGAGGGGTGGGGTGGGAAGACCGGGGCTTCTGCTTGTACCTGACAATCACTGAAAAGGATTAAGATCAAGAATTTGACATCAAGTGTTTCAGAGAAGAGTCGCTGCAGTGACCTGCTGAGAGACATAATGCGCTTCTAAAAATTAAGATAATGCTGAAACAAAACAATGTAATTAAAATAGGGAAATCAGCAGATACAGGATTGGATTGCCCATAATTTAAACTAATGAGCTTACTGGAAGAGTTAGGCTCAGAGAACAATGACAACAGGCTTACAGCAGTCCCAACGTTCAAAGTGCATATTTGTACAACTGAAAACATTGAACAACCAAACCCAAAGGCTAATGCTGTAATCAGCTATGCAAAAAAGCTGTACAAAGTATGTTGTGTGTTTGATCAGCAGCACATAACCAGCGTTGCCATGTTGAGATTTTCCACAAACTGCCAATTTCTCTCAAAAACAGGATCAGATCTCAGATGTCAACCATCAAATCTCAACACACAGACATGATACAATTTCAGTGCAACATACAGATCCCCAGGATATCAATATGTCTGATGAATATCACACATAAATGTCCATAGACACTCCTAGATATCACAAAAAGAGAGGCTCCATGAAACTCAAGAACTTCCAAGTTTCTAGGTTTTTGTCAGCATGAAAGTAACCCAGGGACAGTTGTCAGCACTTCCTATAGTAAAAACAAAAGACAAACTGCTTAAAGAAACTTAAACACACTTTATTTTTACATATATTTGCAAATACAGACCAAAAAACTGGGTCCTAGATTATAGCCTGCAGGGTAACTAACTAAATCCATTGCAACATTATATTTTGTTTGCTTTGTCAATATTAAGAGTTTTAATGTTTAATGTAACATTATCCAAAAATATTGCATATAGCCTCAGTGTATCTTGAAAAGCCATGACAACTTAAAACACTGCAGGCAGTTTATACGTTTACAGATTGCCATCAGTTTGGTCCTTGACTCATCGGACTTCAAGGTTATTATAGTGCATGAGCTGTGAGCGCGGTAAACAGAGAACAGAAAGCATGAACAAAGCAAGATCATTGTCCTGCATGCATTGACATGATCTATGCTGCAGTTTGCAAACATAAAGACACTGCCTGGGTCGCAGGTTTGAACCCGACTCAGAAGACTATCGCCCTGAATGAATGAGTGTGTATCAAATGGAAGATATCAGAATGAGAACATGATATCTCAGGGGACCATTTGATTTTGTCATGACACACATCTGTAACTGCATGAACTGGTTTTAAAGCGTCACTCAAATAATGCATTTAAAAAAAGACATTCCCATTACCCCCACAGTGATGCTCATCTAGCCTTGGAGATACGTTTTGATCCATCTCCGAGATTTCACTGAAATGGAGCTAAATACAATTTTGGTGTGGCGAAGGACAATTTATTAGCAGCATCTGGTTTTTTTTGTGTTTTTTTTCCGAAACAGCATTCCTGCTGGCTCTTCGACCTTGCTGCGGTTTGGGTGTTTTTGTTTGTTTTGTGCTTTCTACTGAACAAATGAGAAACCACAACATGAAAAGACAAATGAACTGGGTGGAATATTTCTCACTCTACAAAGAAATGAAGAAATTCCTATGAAAACTAGTAGCATGTTGAATTTTTAAATGTCTTTTTAAAGGCAAGAAGCAACCACAAATTAAATTCACAACACACAAAAATACCATGCAAGATGGCAAACGTCCCACTTGAGGATCTATAACTGTAAAAGCCAAAAGATCATGATACAAAAAAGAGCCTATAACAAATCAGGATAAATAAAAACATGTTTAAATCATAAAGTTAACTGTCTCTATACACATTTTCAACTTCAAAATCAGATTAAACAGCCAAATTAGTAACATGTTAGAAAAAAATAAATAAAAATAAAGGTCAGAAACCACCACAAATTCAATTCCATTCATCTCCAGTTTCAGTGGAGCACAAGCTTAAACCTTAAAAGTGGACTTTGTTAAACCTGGGCTCAATTAAACTGGAACTAGTCAGCATGGCGAGGTATGAAACTGTTGTTCTTTGTCATTTAGTATTGAATAAAAATGTAGTTTCTCAAGTGGCAAAGACATACTTCAATTGTAACGCTTGCCAAAAGCTTTCCAATTAACGTTTTTTTTTTTCCCATTTGTACTGTAATTACAAACAGAAAATGGTAAATAGTTTGCACTTATATAGCGCTTTTATCCAAAGCACTTTAAAATGTGTTTCTCATTCATCTATTCACACACACATTCATATACCAATGGTGACAGAGCTGCCATGCAAAGTGCTGCCTGCCACTGAGAGAAACTTTGGGTTCAGTGTCTCGCCCAACGACACTTCGACTGTGGAGGGGCTGGCAATCGAACCGCCAACCTTGTGATTGAAGGACAACCCGCTCTACCACCTGAGCCACAGCCACCCCGAAATTATATATATTAATTAAAATGACATTTTAGCTAGCTTTTTGTTAACTTTTTTTTTTTTAAATAATTTTATTTTACTTACTTATATATTCATTTTCTACCTAGAAGCTAGGTTTCTCTTTACTTTCCCCAAAGAGTAGTCTAGAACTTTTTGATAATGAAAGAAATCCCTTCTAAAGAACTTGAACCAAATACATTTTTTTTGCCTTCCTATTTAGTATTTATCTGGAGTTGGCAAACATTTTTAATTGGTTTACAAAATACTACAACTATAGCTTTTTAGTTAGCTTATTTTTTTTTAGCTAGCTGAAAAGTTAGAGTTTAGCTAATTAAACTGATATTTTAGCTAGCTTTCTGCTAAATTCTTTAACATGAAGCTAGAATTTCCCATTGGTGCCCAAATAGTAGCTTCAAACTTAACAAAAATATACAGTTTGCTACTTTAAGCCCATAAAATAATCAGTAATGTCACAGATTATCCGGTAAAACTAGACTGAGCGATAGTTGATAAATACAAATATGTACAAATGTATACCAATATGTCAACAAATGCATTAGCCATGTCATATAATGTTTTCATACAACTACATTTGTGACAAGCTATCCATTTAGGGATTATATATTGGTTTTAAGGGCTAAATAAGGCATATTAAAGCAACATATTACTGTTTTTAGTTTGCTTCCATCTGCAGCACTGACTCAGATCCTACCTACATTACACGGGCAGAAGCTCATCAGACACATGCACTAAATGTGTTTTACCTTGCGTTGTCCATTTGAGCTCTCATAAGCAATGACCAGTTGATTTCAGCAAACACTCACTCCCTCAACCCACATCACAATCCTATTGTGTACATTCCATTTACTCTCCACTCTGCCATACAGTGAAAAGAGGATAATAGGGGCCTTGATGTTTACCTGTGCCATCTATCTCCGTTTCTTTCTAATCTGCTGTCTGAATGCTTGCACACACAATAGACTCCAATTACAGGCTGCTGCACATTGCTCTGCATGGCCTCCCCATAGGTTTGAAGTGGACAGCGTACTTCTGCCGCACTGGCCGGGCTACGCTGCACCCTCAAATGTTAATGGCTCATTCAAAGCCATTAATACGCACAAGCTGCATCAGCATGTCTGCCTGCCGCTTTCTGTCTTTACGCTTTCCCACTTATATGGTAATATAGAGGAGATGGCTATAAGCAGCCATTGATAATGAGGCTGTTTGTTCTGTCTGGCCCTTTGTAGTGGAAATACGGGAATATTTCTACTCCAGACAAAGTGAATGTCTTTTCTCTTTTCTCCTGACAGCAAAGGAAATGACTGAAATACACGTAAAAGATTGTCTGTGTTGAATCCTATTCTACAGACGACTCCTCCATGTTGAGCAGGAGCTCTTGTCTTGTTTGTTTTATATGTTCCACATGTTTATTATTGTGAACCAGAGAGGTTCAATGCACCATTTTTGAAGAATCATTGAATGTGTGTGTGTGTGTCAGTGAGTGTGTTGTAACTTTTGACTGACATATGGAGCCCAGTCTGGGTATTTCTTTTTTTTAAATGTTCACACTTGCAGTCCATTCCTAGTCACTCAAGTTTCAATCCAAAAGGTCCAACAGTGGCTTTGAAACTTGAACCAGTCTAATCGTTTGTGTTCACTCTGTATGTTGTTGATGTGTTTGTCATCACCTAGAGGAAGAGAAGCCCGTGGTGACCAACGTCACTGTCAGCGATGTATCATGGGACAGCTTCCTCCTGTCCTGGTCTGCTGAGGACGGGGCATTCGAGGCCTTTCTGATCGAGGTTACCGATGCAGAGACGGGTGCTGAGTGGCAAAACCACACGGTGCCCGCCGATGCTCGCAGTCTCGTCATCACTGGCCTGTCCCCCACCACCTGGTACAGAGCCAATTTGTACGGGGTGTACAGGGGGGTCCTCTTAGACCCTGTCTTTGCAGACACCATTACAGGTATCAACGCCGTCAACACTGGGGCCTTGTTCTCTCCTTTGCTTCCTTCTTCTTCTGCTGCACACAGTGAATTAACCAGTGCTTCTCCCTGCAGACGTCCTACATGACACTTACTTGCAGTTGTCAAATGGTGTTTGTCTATTCATAGAGCTCTTGTGTGGCTGTTCACCACTGTCTTTATGTGTTAAATTGACGCTGATAGGTGTTATGGAAACACTTGGTCTTGTGCCTTTTTATGCTGTCGGACTCTTTTATTCAAAAATAAGCTGTTTGGAAGAAAGTTCAATAGATTTTAGGAATATTCTAAAAACAAAACATGCTCTTGGGAAAATGGAAGCAAATAATTGGAAGCAGAACAATAACTGAGCCTGGCTTTTTGTATGTGGTTACACAGACTTTCTTCTGACGAATCTTTGAGATTGAAACTTTTCCTGTGAGGATGAAGATAGCTTGTTTTGTACATCCTCATCATGGGGACATTTTTAAGGCAGCAGCTCAGTTTTCATTTTCTGAGCACAAGCTGTTTACCTTTGGCTTTGGAAGAACATTTCAAAAAGGTGTATATAAAAAACCTACACATGAGCCAGTGTGGTGGAGGTTATACTTCACAGGGTAAATAAGATCCCCTCGCCTTTCAGATAGCATGTACAGTCCAAATCCCCAAACAACACCCCCTCATCAGCCATCTATCATGCACGTCTCCCTCCTTTGATGTGGAGGGGGGGGGATTGTGAAATTGGCTAATGCTCCGCTGCAACACCCGCACAAAACCCATTCAATCTATATTAGTCCAGCCACAGATCAACGTTTGATCGAGCTCTAAGCTGTCTGTCTGCCTGTTGGTACGAGTCCAGCCTGAAACAACACCTGGTCTGTTATGTGAACAGGCAGAAACACATAAAATAAAAGATCAGTGTGCTGTTTAACTGGGGAACAACAGGTGCACTGGTTTCCCCTCCCACTACACCAGTCACAGTCATTATCGGTGATTAACATGCTGTAAATCACAGTATGTCCCTGATAAGAAGGCTGTAAACAGTGAAACCAAAATCTGCCAATTATGCAGTTTAAAAAAAAAAAAAAGGATCATGACAACATAATACCAAACATCCTCACAGAGACCTTTTGAAAACTTTTTGCCCAGGCGAGAAGGTCAAAAATAACCAGTTACGGGTTGGTTGAGAGTTTTTTTTAATGTCAGCATCTATTCCAACATTATCATTCAGTATTTCACTGATGAGGATCAGTCAAGTGGAAGAAAGATGGGAGGACTGACAGAGGAAAAAAAAACCCTAAGGCGCTTTTGTCACTTTGTGTGAGGCCTCTCTTCTGTATGCATCCCCAGTTCCCTCAAGCCTGGACTGCGCTTCATTCTCATGCTGCCATTGCCCCTGGGCTCTGGTGCTGGGGTGCCAGGGGCTTCTGGGGCCACGCAGAATATGGCATGCGCTCAACACGGCCCATTGTCTGCATGCTAATGGCCTGGTGAAACCATCTTAACATTTTTCATTAGCATCACTTAATCCATAAAACATTCCAACTTGTGAATACAAGCACTGACTAATTTGATTATGTTATGCACGGTGGTCATCGTTGGTCTCCTGCTCGAAGGGAAAATAAAGTCCTCTGCTGAAAAGGGAGTGAGGAAACTTTGATTACCAGAGAGAGAGAGTTTTATACAACAAATGATTGATGGAACCACAAAGAGATGTGGACAGCGCCCAGAACAAGCTCGGCTCAGTTGCGATTCGTATCACCACAAGCTGCTCTCGTAAAGTTATCAGACGAGACTGGAACCAGGCCTGGGATTCTGCTTGCAGACCCCCTTTTCAGCAGGTTAGCTGGCGCCGGCGCGTACCTCCTCCAGTAACAGGCTCCTTTTTGTGTTGGGATTGTGTTCCCTCAGGTCCTGGGTGGGGGAGTGGAAGTGTAGGAGAGGTGGTGGTGGCGGTGGGAGGGTGAAATCAGTACCAAGCTAGCACATATTAGCTGATGGATGTGGCCCTCCCTCTCCTCCACTGACCAGCTAAAGCCGCCCGGCGGCTAATGAAGAGTGACAGCTCCCTGGGATTTGTCTGCTCTGCTTCTCATTTTCACCGCTTCTTCTCACAACACATGCCTCACGCTTTTTCCCTCACAATAAAAAAAAGGGTTCCAGGCTAGTTTAAGGACCCCTGAGACCCTCACATTTGGTGTAGTGTTTTAATGAGCAGTGGCACTGGGCTTTATTGAGCCTTTCTGAGCCCACTTATATCTGCTTCTATCCAGACTGCTTTAAAAGCTCTGTCCGGTCCGTGTATCCATCTGTGCTGCTACCGGAAGTTTCTCTGGCTAATTAGCTGCACTGGACTCATCCTCTGGAGAAGCAGAGCTTTTTCTCCAGCAGCTGTAGGCTCCTGCTGTCTCTCAGCCTCTCTTCCTATCACTGCCATTATTAGCTGCTGCTAATGACTGCTTAACTACTAGCTTTTAAAGCAGCACATGCACACAATCCCATCTGTATGCATATAGTTAGATGTCTGCACTGTACTGTTGAGTATTTGAACACCACTCTGAGTGAAGCAGCTGTTGTTTGACACAGCTTCTTTGCTTTGAAATTCCTCACAAAGTCAAGTTTAATTAGATGATTTGAAGAATCCACATGATTAAATGACATTCTTGCAATGAAAAAGTGAATTCACAGACAATTCTTAGCATAAAGTTCAACTTTGATGAACTATTAATCACAAATGTGTACCACTGATCATTGGCACCCGGTTTTGGCAATACTAGCCTTTAAGTCAGTGCTACTTAAACTAATAATTGTCTTCAATAACTTAATCTATGCTGTTATTTACTCATATCTAGTATCAGCATTGTTGAATCAAAATTCTCAAAAAGATAGTTTGATATCAAGATTGTATTCAGCACAGAACACTTGCTATTTCCATTTTGCAGTACTAAGGAGAACCACACCTCAAATGAAAAGTGCCATTCTTAAGTAATGTATTATTTTATTAAAACTTGCCAAAAATGATTCCTGGTCACAGTCACAATCTTGACCATTTATTTTTTAAAAATCCCATAACGCTAACCTTAACAGATCAGTCAGCTATGCCTACAACAGGTCAGCTGGATACCTTTGTGTGGCTCAGTCAGTGAGCCCCTGCTGTCTGGACTTCATTTCCTCCTTCTGTGTTGTATGTTGTTTTAAACCTCCTCATTCCGCTCTGAATTCAGACTGATACTCTCTTTTGCCGCCATGTTCTTCAAATGTTAAAACACTCTTAAGTTCTACAGAAGAGGAAAACTGACTCTCCCCCCCTGTCACTCAGAGACCGAACCGGAGGTACAAGCTCTCCTGGTCTCCGATGTCACCCCCGACAGCTGTAGGCTGGCCTGGACGGCTGAAGAGGACGCCTTTGACACCTTTGTCATAATGATCAGCCAGACTGAGAACCCAGACCAACCCAGGGAGCTGGTGCTGGGTGGTGAAGAGAGAAGCGCAGCAATAACAGATCTCAATGAAGACACCGATTACAAAATTGAGATCTTTGGGCTGATTTTGGGAAGACGCTCCAAGTCTGTAATCGAGGGGGTGAGAACAGGTACACTGTGAAAGGATGGAATCAAGAAGTTCAAGCTGTGAACTCGAACTCTGGAACCGTCTTGTTAGTGTAGTCAATGTGGAATGGTGTCATATCCTGTCAGTGTTGTCTTTGATGGTAACAGCATGAAAACACAGTCATTAATAGCTGTGTTCTAACATTTGTCCTCGATATCTCAGATCGTTTTGTCTACTAACTTGGTAACAAATCGTCACCGTATTTGTCTAAGGTGCCCTATGTGTTGGTGTGTTTTTTGTGTCGCTGGTCCTGAGTGGTTCCACAGTGAGCAGTGTAGCAGGCAGGACACACGGATGATAGTTTATGCGCTGCTGATCTTAACACTGCTGCCGGATCAGAATCAGACTGATATATGGCCTTACTGATATCAGCCTGCTCTTGAAATTATATTTGCCAGTCTGATAGGATGGGGATGAAGCAGCTACACTGATGATGCACTATCATTATAGAACTACACTGTTTTAAAGGAGAATCCCATAATGGTCTTAATGCTTTTCCAACCTGCAAAGTAGTGGTCTTGTTTAAATACACTGAATATCTGCACAAAAAAGGAACATCATTGTTGTAGCTTCACCCTCTCAGAAAAGGCCTGTAAAAACTCAGATAATCGGTCGACCTCCACTCAGGACATTTACACAGCTCTTTACTCTTTTCGTTGTGTCATCTCCGCCCGGTTGTCCTCCAAAATGTTGTGTTTGACTGCCTGGCCCCATGTGTCACTGTCTGTCTTTGTAAAGGAGGTGGTGGTGGGGGTGAGGGGGTGGTTGTCCGTGTCACATAAAACGGGTGTCTGTGCCTGTGTCCCCTGTCCTCCCCGAGGGTAAAGCTTTACTCTTGGGTTGCGTGGCGCATGTTTCACTTTTGTGTTGCCATGAAATGGGGGCAAGTTAATCTCCTCAGGTCTGTCACGCAAGATACTGTGGCTCACTGTTAACCGGGAAGGGTCTCTGAGCCCGGGCCTCCCCAGGCCTCCTTTGTCTGTCTACCTCGCTTTCTCTTTCGCACTCTTCCTTTCGCTCTGTTCTCAAACAAGTGCCTTTCACTGGTGGATCTGCTCTGGCTACAATAACAGAATCTGTGTGTGTCTGCTACTTAATTCTGTAGCAGGAAATTCTTACTAGAACATGCTGATGCCATGTATTTAGTGCCGCTTTCTTTATGTTCTGCTTATACAGTCCTCACACAGCTGAAGAGGCAGTACATATATTGACTAAATCTTTGTCTTTTTTTTGTCTGTTTCTGCCCCCATCTGCTGTTTCTGTCTTGTTTGTGCCAGACCTGGGCTCACCCAAAGGCATCCGTTTCTCTGATGTCACCGATACGTCCGCCACAGTCCACTGGGTCACTCCAAGAGCTCGAGTGGACAGCTACCAGGTCACTTACGTGCCTGCCCATGGAGGTCAGTGTCTTTATGAATTTGGTGAAACAGGGAAGCTGTAGACATTCATTGCTGCTGTGCCGCTTTGTTCCAAAAATCTTTAATGTCAAACTAAACTGTAAAGAAACAAGTAAGCATCAACAACAGAGTTCTAATAGTTTTACCCTTAAATATACTGATGCTTGCATTAAAAAAGAGAGTTTAAGATTAAAAGTCTTCCAATAAACATATTTCGTAAACTGAAACCAGCATAGGTTTCTATTCCAGTTTATCGGTGACTTTACCGCCAGTAAAGTCATTGATAGACACTCACTGCTTTGTAATTACTGTTCCTTAAATCAGTTTAATCCTTCATCAGGGGTCTTTTGTGCAGTGATAGACTGATGCTGCCCCCTGCTGACTACTTGTAGGAATTTCTTCTGAATGGAGGTAAAAATGAAAAATCATCAGGAAATTTAAAAAAAAAAAAACAACACAACTTGGCTCGACTTGTTTCAATATGTTTAGCCCCTCACATACAGTATCCACTGTAAATAATATCTGTTGTATGCACTAGAAATGTGTTCTATAATTTCTATTCAGACTTCACTTTCCTAAACTATTTCTGAACATACTGAAATCATTGGTAGGGTAACAACATTAATGTGATGGTTTTTGAAGTGAGTGTTTAGTTACATATATATTTGTATGTTTTTTACATAAGTGACCACTTTTAATATATCCAGTTATTTCCATTGTATTTTAATTTTTTAACATGTACAATGAGTTAGTACTTTCAAGAATCTTTTTGACTAAAAAGAAGCAACGTTTTAACCGTACCGGCTCTTCATCATCCACAAAAATAATGTACATTTGAAATAATCAATACATTACTAATTTCTCAAGAATTTCTTTTGAAATGCTATCAGAAGGGCAC